GAGGCCAAAGTCAAGAGATCAGGACAGCATAGTCACCCACAGTGAGGCATGACAGAGTATAGTTGCCCAGGGACATAAATAAGTGAAGCTACAGTTTAAACTATCACAAGTATCATGAATTTATGTGAGGTTAGTTAGTATATAACCAATCATAGGGTTAAATCTTTTAAAAATGCATTTATTTACTCATTAATATAGTAAATAAACACACAAGTACTCTTGAAATCATATGCTCTGTAAAGTTAGTGTATGACTGACCTTGCTTTTAAAAACATCACAGTCATTATTTCATTTAGTTATGCATTCTATGAAATTATTTTTAAACCTCTATCATATGCCATGTTATTTGGCAAATGTTCTCCAAAATTTAATTGTCTTATATACAACAATTCTCTATAGTGGATAAGCTAATTCACTGACACAGATATTTGATTTGCAAACAAATGATTGCTTTTAGAGATTTCACCAGGATTCTACATTAAGTAAAAATAAATATTTTTATAGATGATTTATGAGATTGTCTATCAATGTTGCAGATGAGACTGGTAAGACTTCATCCTAAATATATTAAAAAGGAGAGAATACTTTCAAACTAATTATATGAGGCCAGCAGTGCCCTGATACTAAAGCCAGAGAAGGACATTACAAGAAAAGAAAATTACTGGCCAATGTTTCTGATGAGCATATTATAAAAATCTCCAATGAAATACTATCAAACTGAATTCAACAGCACATTAAAGTGATCATTCACCATGATCAAGTGAAGTATATCCCAGAGATGCAAGGATGATTCAACACATATAATTCATATACTTGATACAACACATTAGCAAAATAAAAGACAAAAACTGTATGGGCATCTCAATATATGCAATAAAGTCATTTGGAAAATTTAACATTCATTCTTGATACAACTTCTCAACAAAACAGATACAGAAGAAATGTACCTCAACATAATGAAGACCATAAATGACAAGTTCACAATTAACATTATACTCAATGGTGAAAAGTTGAAAGCTTTTCATCCAAGATCAGAAATAAGAAAAGGATGCCCACTCTAATCACTAGTCTTCAACATAGTACTGTAAGTTTCAGCTAGCTAAATTGGGCAAGAAAAATACAAGACACTCCAACAGAAAACAAAGAAGTCAAATTGTCTATCTTTGCTGATCACATGATTTTATATAGAGAAAGCCATAAGGACTCATCCAAAATCCTGCCAAAGCTGTTAAACAAATTCAGTAAAGAGACAGGTTACAAAATCAACATACAAAAATTAGTAGAATTTCTATACACTAACAACAAACTATCTACAAAATAAATTAAAGAAACAATCTCATTTTAAAATAGCACCAAAAACATTACTTAGGAGTAAATGTAACCAAGGAGATGAAAGATCTGTAGACTGAAAACTGCAAAACATTGATGAAAAAACAATTAAAGACACAAATAAGTAGAAAGATATTTTGTGGTCAAGGATTAGAATAATTAATATTATTAAAATGTACAAAACCCAAAGCAATGTGCAGATTGAATGTAACCCCTATCAAAATTCCAGTGTCATTTTTCACAGAAATAGAAAAGAAAATGCTAAAATTTGTATGAAACCAAAATAGACCTCAAGTAGCTAAAGCAATCTTGAGCAAAAAGAACAGAGCTGGAAGCATCATACCACCTTATCCAAAAATATATATTAAAGTCATTGTAATCAAAACAGCATGGCACTGGCATAAAAACAGAAATATTGACAAATGGAACAGAATAGAAACCCAGAAATAAATCTAGATATTTTCAACAAATTGATTTTTGACAAAGGTGCTGGCAACACACAATGGGAAAAGGACACTCTCTTCAATATATGGTGTCAGGACAAATGAATATTCATATTCAGAAGAATGAAACTGGACTCTTATCTCACATTATATGTGAAGATAAACAAAAAAATTAAATTTATGTTTAAAATTTAAACATAAAACCTGCAACTATAAAGCTGCTAAAAGAAAACATAGCGGAAGCACTACATGACATTGGTCTGGGCAATAATTTATTGGAAAGGCCTCCAGAAGCACAGACACCAATGGCAAAAATACATAAATGGAATTATAGCAAATTAAAAAGCTTATGCATGGCAAAGGAAGCAACACAGTGAAGGGACAACCCATAGACTGAGAGAGAGAATATTTGCAAATCATACAACTCATAAAAAGGTAATGTCCAAAAAGGTACAAGGAAATCAAATAACTCAATAGCAGGAAAATAGCTGATTAGAAAATTGACAAAGGACCCAAAAAGACATTTCTTAAAAGAAGACATATAATAAAATGGCCAAGAATATCTATTTTTTAATGTTCTACATTGTTAATCATCAGAGAAATACAAATTAAAACCATAATTACATATCACCTCACACATACTAGAAGGGCTATATTCAAAAAGACAAAACTAGAAAGCATTGGTGAAGATGTGGAAAAAAGGAAACCTTGGTGCATTGTTGGTAAAGGTGTAAATTATACAGCCATTTTGCAAAATAGAGTGAAGTTTTTTCAAAAAACTGAAAGTAAAATTTTCTATATAATCCAGAAATCTCATTTCTGATTATATATTCAAAGGAAGCAAAATATGTTTGTTAAAGAGATGTTTGCACTCCTATGTTCATTGTGCCTTTATTGACGATGGCCAAGATATGGAAACAACCTAATTATTCATCAATAAATGGATATATAGGCCAGGCACAGAGTCTTATGCCTGTAATCCCAGCACTTTGGGAGGCCAAGATGGGTGGATCACCTGAGATTGGGAGTTCGAGACCAGCCTCTCTTTACCAAAAATATAAAATTAGATGGACCTGGTGGTGCATGCCTGTAATCCCAGCTACTCAGGAGGCTGAGGCAGGAGAATCGCTTGAACCCAGGAGGCGGAGGTTGCAGTGAGCCAAGATCATGCCACTAAACTCCAGCCTGGGCAACACAAGTGAAACTCTATCTCAAAAAACAAAGAAATGGATATATAAAGAAAATGTGTGTTCCACACAATGAAGCCATAAAAAGGCAGAAAATGCATGTACCACACAATGAAGCCATAAAAAGGCAAAAAGTGCTGTTATTTGCAACAACATGGATGAACCTGGAGGACATTATGCTAACTTAAATAAGCCAGGTACAGAAAGACAAACATATTAGTCCATTTTCATACTGCTATGAGGAAATACCTGAGACTGGGCAATTTATAAATAAAAATAGTTCTAATGGATTCACAGTTCCACATGAGACCTCACAATCATGGTGAGAGGCAAAGGAGGAGCAAAGGCACCCTTTACATGGTGGTAGGCAAGAAGAGCATGTGCAAGGGAACCACGCTTTATAAAACCATCAGTTCTCCTGAGATTTATTCACTATCACAAAAACAGCATGGGAAAAACCCATCCCCATGATTCAATTACCTCCCAGGTTACCTCCCACAACATGCAGGGATTGTGGGAGCTACAATTCAAAATGAGATTCGGGTGGGGACCCAGCTAAACCATATCAACAAGTACTATAAAATCTCATATGTGGAATCTAAAAAGTAAATCTCATAGAAAGAGAGAATAGAAAGGATTTTACCAGAGGCTGAGGGTTTTGGGGATGCATGGGTGAAAAAGGAGATATTGATCAGCTTCAGTTAGACAGGAGAAATGTTTTAGTATCTATTGCACTGTATGGTGACCACAGTTAATTATAATTTAGTGTGCGTTTCAAAATTGCTGACAGAATTGATTTTTTATATTCTACCACATACAAGAAAAAAAAGAAAAGGATAACTAGATGAAGTGATGGATATGTTAATTAGCTTAATGTACTCTTTCACACAGAGATCAAAACATTACATTGTACCTCATAATATACATGCAAATATTATTTATCAATTAGAAATACATAAATAGTGTTAAAATATTTTATAATTTTTGACCAATATTTTTTAAGGTATTGTCCTTTGCCAAATGTTTAAACCATTGGCCCATTGATCAAATTCAAGCAAAAATGAGTCTTCTTTGGCCAGCAAAATAGTTAAATATTCTCACATTGGAATGTCCTTAGGAGTGACACGTACCCACTGGTTAACCTATTGCTAGGACTCAGTCTCTCTGTACATTTGATTGGGTTTCATTCTACAAAAGGACATTTGATTTTGCGTATTGTGCTTTCTGGTTTACAACACCAAAGCACAGGTTCTCACTCTTCCGTGTATTTGAACTGTTCCAAAACTAGCAAAAAATATTTGGATCCTTTTTATAGTTATCCCTAAGAAATTATGTGAGACAACCAATCACTCATGCACCTTAACTGGAAATGTGTAGTATCTGCACTGCACACATGGTATATAAATTAAGTAAGCCACGAAGGCATTAGCCTAAGGGTTGAAAAAACAAAGAAGGTGGAGCTATTGCCTGCAGTGAGCTCAATTTCTAGTAGACATTCAACAATTTTTTTTTTTTTTCTGGTGGAGCAGCATAAGGCTTCCATGTGGATGTGATGACATCTCATCTGAGTCTTGATGACAAATAATTTTCTAGGTGATCAATGAGAAATAGGTACAGAGAAGTACTTGTGACAGCAGTCACACAAAGTGGCCTCTTTTGTGAGAGGTGGGTAAATTTAAGCTCCTAAGACCAGACAATGAACAGCCTTCTCTGCAACGTAAAAGTGTGTTTCTCCAGCCTGCCACCCACCCACTAGTCATGTATATATGGAAAGTTCCTTCTCTCTCCAAAGGTTACCAATAATTGCCTTCCCTATAGCCATTCTACGCTTCTTTCATATGGGAAAAGGTAATGTGTATGAATACAATCATGATTTTTCTAGACACTATCCTACAGCAAGGGTTGGCCATGAGATTCCATTCTGGAAGGTGAAATATAAATGGAAGGAGTGGTTAGAGCCTTTGGGAAAGCTATTGCATTCCAGAAAAAGACGAGAAATCACCTGGCATATACCTCATTTCTCCTTACCATTTTCTTTTAGCCTTCCTCCTGCCTGGAACATGATAATGAGACTTACAGTCGTGGCTGCCATTCTGCAAGTGATAATCTACAGGTCACATTTGGCAGACTTCCAAATCCACTTGCCCAGGGTAAGAGTGTGCTTCTCCAGCCTGCCATCCACCCACTAGTCATCTATATATGAATGTGACTTGACCAGGGGAGCTTTTATGATTCCTGGCTCACATCCTATTCCTGAGTAAAGATCGTAACATGAATTCCTCAAATATTATCATGAGTTCCTCAAACCTGACATACTGATTAAGACATAACTTACTGACATTGAAAAGGAGATTGACAGGCTGAGCACAGTGGCTCACGCCTGTAATCCCAGTACTTTGGGAGGCCGAGGCAGGTGGATCACAAGGTCAGGAGTTTGAGACCAGCCTGACCAACATGGTGGAACCCCGTCTCTACTAAAAATGCAAAAATTAGGTGGGCATGGGGGTGCACACTTCTAGTCGCAGCTACTTGGGAGGCTGAGGCAGAATTGCTTGTACCTGGCAGGTGGAGGTTGCAGTGAGCTGAGATCATGCCACTGCACTCCACCTGGGTGACAAAGTGAGACTCCATCTCAAAAACAAAATACAAAAAAAAAGAAAGAAAGAAAGAAAGAAAAGAAAAGGAGATTGACTTATTTCTGAATCACGAAGTTTTTCTGATTCATGAAGTTTTCCTGATTGTTTTGCATGTAAAACATTTTAGCCTGTTTGTTGTAATCTGTAGCCTAGGATTGTAACCTCTGTATTATACTCTCCAATGAAAGGGACAACTCCAGCATGAGGAATCCACTTCCTTTTCTCTAAACTTTTTCATAAAAGCCTTCCAACTTGTAACAGACTCTGGAACACACTCAATTTTGTTGGTGTGTTGTGGTGGGAAGTCAGGGACCCCAAACGGAGGGACCGGCTAAAGTTGCGGCAGAAGAACATCAATTGTGAAGATTTCATGGACATTTATTAGTTCCCCAAACTGATACTTTTATAATTTCTTACACCTGTCTTTACTGTAATCTCTGAACATAAATTGTGAAGATTTCATGGACACTTATCACTTCCCCAATCAATACCCGTGTGTTTTCCTATACCTGTCTTTAATCTCTTAATCCTGTCATCTTCTTCGTAAACTGAGGAGAATGAATGTCGCCTCAGGACCCTGTGATTGTATCAACTGCACAAATTGTTTGTAGAGAATGTGTGTTTGAACAATATGAAATCTGGGCATCTTTTAAAAAGAACAGGATAACAGGGATGTTCAGGGAACAAGAGAGGTAACTTTGAACTGGCCGCCGGTGAGCCGGAGGGAACAGAGCTCTATTCCTCCTCTTTCATAAGCAAATAGCAGAAATATCGCTGAATTCTTTTTTCAGCAAGGAACATCCCTGAGAAAGAGAATACGCCCTGAAGGCAGGCCTATAAACAGCCCCTTGGGAAGCGTGTGCTGTCTTTTATGGTCGAAGTCTAAGGGATGAAATAAGCCCTAGTCTCCTGTAGCCCTCCCAGGCTTATTAGGAGGAGGAAAATTCCCACCTGATAAATTGTGGTCAGACAGGTTCTCTGCTCTCAAACCCTGTTTCCTGATAAGATGTTATCAACGATAATGCCTGTGGAAACTTCATTAGCAATTTTAATTTCGCCTCATCTGGTGGTCCTGTGATCTCGTCCTGCCTCCATTTGCTTTGTGATATTTTATTACCTTGTGAAGTATCTGATCTCTGTGACCCACACCCTATTCGTGCACTCCCTCCCCTTTTGAAAATCACTGATAAAAACTTGCTGGTTTTACGGCTGGGGGAACATCACGGATCCTGCCGACATGCGATGTCTCCCCCGGACACCCAGCTTTAAATTTCTCTCTCGTGCTCTTTCCTTTTATTTCTCAATGGCAGCCCAGACACTTAGGAAATAGAAAAGAACCCACGTTAAACATCGGCAGCAGGTTCTCCCGATAGTGTGTTTTCCAGGGTCGAGTCTCACATTTGGCTTCCAATAAACTTTTCTCTAACTATTTCTGCCTCAACAGCCTTAATTTTGGTTGATGCAAGCATAAAGCTGAAAGCTCCTACTAAGGCCGGTGTGGCAGCAAAATACAACAGAAGATGTTTAGGTCCTGTCATGGAACCAGGGAACCGGGAAATCAGCCCTGGACCACCTCTTTCTGGACTTTTTTCTTTGGGAGGAATAAAACAAACCTGCTACTTGTTTAGGGCGTAGTTTTTCAGGTTTTCTGTTTCTTGAAACCAGATGTCGTCATGGTTGATAAATCTTCTAGCCATATAACAAATACTGAGAATACTAATGTGCTTGGAGTCAAAATAATTTCTATTTACAGAAGATGTGAACATAACAAGGATATGATCTGTGTTTCTTTTTAAAGTATGTCCAATGATAACAAACTTTTGCTTTTAAAGTAAATACTTATTTATGTTGACGAGCTAGTTATCCAAATACATGAAGACATCCACTAATCCTTTCTGGAAGGTTCATTCATATTCATCTATACACCTACTATCACAGTTGATTTAATATTCTTTATAATAATGCTTCACCGTATGAAAATATCTCACTGTATCGAGATGTTCTGGCCCATCATGAGTGTGTAATGACCTTGCTTACAAGCATAACCCTAGTATAAATACAATCCTTGCCTAAATAACAACTTCAATAGTAACAACCTTGCACAAGGTATGTTTATCCAGAAGTTTCCTTCTATGTGTGCACAAAAACAAGGATTCAATTACATATATTGATACCAGTTGGATATAGGAGGAAAAAAGGGTGAAAAGAGACTCCCCATGAAGAGGGGTGAGTTAGCAAGACTAGACAGACATTCCAAAGGAGTAACGCCTTAGAACATACTCACTTTCAGCAATGCTATATATATTTATATATATATTTTTTTGTCTCAAGTAAAGTATAAAAGAAGATGTTTTGGGGCTGGGCACAGTGGCTCACACCTGTAATCCCACACTTTGGGAGGCCGAGGTGGGCAGGTCACCTGAGATCAGGTGTTCGAGACTAGCCTGGCCAACATGGCAAAATCCTGTCTCTACTAAAAGTACAAAAATTAGCCAGGCACGGTGGCGGGTGCCTGTAGTCCCAGCTACTCAGGAGGCTGAGGCAGGAGAATTGCTTAAACCCAGAAGGCAGAGGTTTAAGCCGAGATCATACCACTGCACTCCAGCCTGGATGACAAGAGTGAGACTCTGTCAAAAAAAAAAATAAATAAATAAAAGAAGATGTTTTGAGCTGGTTCTGCCTGTATATTAACTTTGATGGTTAATATTGAGTATTAACTTGATTGGACTGAAGTATGCAAAGTATTGTTCCTGTGTGTGTCTGTGAGGGTGTTGCCAAAGGAGATTAACATTTTTGTCAGTGGACTGGGAAAGGCAGACCCACCCTCAATCTGTGTGGGCACAATCTAATCAGCTGCTAGTATGGCCACAATAAAAGCAGGCAGAAGAACAAGAAAACACTAGAATGGCCTAGGCTCCAAGCCTACATCTTTCTCCCATGCTGGATGCTTCCAGCCCTCGAACATCGAACTCCATGGTCTTCAGCTTTGAGACTCAGACTGGCTTCCTTTCCCCTCATCTTGCAGATGGGCTATTGCGGGACCTTACCCTGTGACCATGTGAGTTAATACTACTTAATAAACTCCCCTTTATCTATACATCTATCCTATTCATTCTGTCCCTCTAGAGAACCCTGACTAATACATGAACTTTTGGCATGGAGTGCAAAAAATGACTGGCATTTCTTTCCAGGTAAGTCTATTTCTGTTTTTCCCAAGAAACAGCACAACGTCTACTCAGTTACTTCCTGGGTAAATAGTTGGAAATTTTGTTCCTCAGTTGAAAGAAACACTTTTTGCTTTCTGTAAATACATGAGAGGAACCCAGACCTCCCAGGCATGTGTTTCTTCTACATAATCACAGCTGGGCCTTGGTGATGGTTTGACTGAATCATGCACCTTGGATCTCCCCAGCAGGGAAAACTAATGCTGGCATGAACACCTGTGCATCTTTACAAGGCTGAAACACCCTCATTTACTCTACTGGGGGTGAACATTTTCAGACAAAATAAGAGACAACTGTGATCTGATAAAAAAATATATATATCAGTGTTCCAAATAGGGATGAAGTTAGCTAACCTTTTTTTTTTTTTTTCTATAATGAGCTACTTTCTCTTTTATAGACAGTTTTTTGTTGAATCTATGGCAACCTAAGTTTGCAAACCTCACTGTAAAATCCCATATGTTCCTGATTTCCTTGAAGATCAGGCTGTGTTCAAGTCCCCCACCACTGAGCTGTGAAAGTTTAAAAATGTCTTAGCTTATAAAATGTACTGATCTACCAAGGAGTGTTTCCTTTATATCTTATGAGAAGCTTTTTATTGGACTAGTGAGAAATAGAAAAACTCAAGGCGTTGGAAATAAAAACATTTCAGAGATCATTAAAGTGACTTCTAAAATAAGTTTTGAATAATGTTGACGAATTTGATGCTGGAAATGTTTTAACTCAGAGACTAGTTAGAACAAAACATTTCAAATAACATAAGACCAGGCACAGTGGCTCACACCTGTAATCCCAGCACTTTGGGAGGCTGAGGCAGGCTGATCACTTGAGACCAGGAGTTCAAGACCAGCCTGGACAACATGGTGAAACCCTGTTTTTACTAAAAGTACAAAAATTAGCCAGGCATGTTGGCATGTGCCTGTAGTTCCACAGTCCCAGCTATTCTGGGGGCTGAGGTGGCGGGATCCCTTGAACCCAGGAGGCAGAGGTTGCAGTGAGCTGAGATCACACCACTGCATTCTAGATGTCTAGGTGACAGAGTGAGACTCTGTCTCAAAAAAAGAAAAAAGAAAAAAAAAATTCCAAATAATGTAAATGCTAATAAATGTCATCTAGAGTTTTGTTTTTTTTTTTTTACAAAAGATTTCTTTAGTCCATTTTATTTCATTGATTGAATTTCTGTATACCACAGTGAAAATATGTCAGTTTATTTTTATTTTGCTGATTTTCTTATTAGTACTATTACTTTCTCAATTACATTGCTAATTAAAATTTAATTTATTAATCAGTTTTTTGACCAAAATCAATTGTTTCAATTCATCAATCCTAATGTATTCTTTTGTCGTCATTTCAGTTTTCCTTGGTCAGGTAATAGTGTTTTTCTCTAGCAAATATTTTCTTAACAATGTTTTCTTAGTGTTTCTTTGAGCAAATGTGAGAAATTTTGTGAGAAAGAGAAAAAGGGAGATAGATATGGGGAAAAGACTGGCACAGTAAGAGAAAGAATTGTGACAGAGAGAGAAAAGGGTAAGAATATAACAACAAATAGGTGTCAGAGAGACATCCACAAAGAGCCAGAAGGTGGAATATTGGCACTATCACATTTGGTGACCTAACTCAAATTCTTCTCTTGACTTAATCCAGCTCTAGCCATAAACATAGTGAGACTTGACCTATCTTCTCCTCCGAAGTGAATATCTTTACTCCCAATACCGAGCATGGTCTAACCCTAGCTGTCTTTGCAAGTTTCAGGCCTGCAGACAAGCAGGTTGCCCCCTTCAGCTCTGCATTTATGCATCACCAAGATTCATCTTGTGTTTGGGTGTGACTGTGTTTTTATTACTATTTTTTTTTTTCCATTTTGACTGTCATTGTTTATATTTGGTGGAGAGAAATATGGAACAATGACAGTTAACCTTCCAGCCATCCCAAGTATAAGTGAACCTTCATTCGTCGCATTTTAATGAATGAAGCAGCACAGATACAATGTGTGTCAGGCACCTCACTATCTCTGTCTTAGTCACCTGAATGTACTTCATTGTATCCATGGAGGTTAGAATTGTTTAATACTCTTTAATCACCACTTTTTTGTGTATCTTGAACTCTGTTTCTTTGATAATCACATGTATACTTCTTCTCTTTCAATATTTTGAATTAGATTCATGCTCTTTCTATAAGCCTTGAGTATCAATAATAGCTATACAGCAGATAAATGGCTCTCTTAAGAATAACTATTTCAGTCAATCTACAATTCAGTAGCATTGACTAAGTACCTGCAAAGTATTAGGCCCTCCAGTTGTTTATGAAGAATTGAGAACCTTACAAATTATTTGGCACTTTAAATCACTTACAAATGCACCCTTTATTTGCCTGACAATGCTATTTATTGTCTCATAGAGGGATGATTTATACTGGCTTTCATTTTTACATTATTCACAAACTCTAGTTTGAGTGCCAATGTTACCCATCAGTGGCTGGAAATTGTAAATAGTACCCTTAGAGAAATATTCCTTTAATTAGAGTGATAGACTCTGGAATCGCTCCCATGTGTTGGCTTATAACCCTAGGATGTCCTTAAATGTTATCTTTTCACTAATTATCCAAAACAAAGCCATTATAGCCTATGCAAATCACCAAAAGATGGATGAGCTGGACCCTGAATGAACAGTGAAGTCAGCTACAGGTTGAGAGGCTGACCAATAAAACATGTGACTCCCAGGACATTAGGAAAAGAAAGACACTGTGATCCAGGGCAAATCTTCTAAAGGCTTTATTGCACATGATACAGTTCTGAAGCTTAAGCCCTTTTATCTGGTCAGCATAGTTGAGTAGAGAGAGCCAGAAGTTAGAATCAAACACGCAGGCTTGTATTTTGGTAGTAACTTTCATTCCTCAAATTCAACAATTATCTATTGTGTACCCACTGTGGGCTTTGCACAATGCGAGGTACTAGGGAGATAATTAAAACCAAGATTCTGCTATCATGAAGCTTAATTAAATAATAATAATCATTCTTAAGTTACAATTGTAATGAATGCTACACAGAAGTAGAGCATGTGGTAAATGCCTGTCGTGAGAAAACCAATCAAGGTTGGGGTAGAAGGTGAGAGAGGTTTAGGAAAGTTTACCAAAGGAAATAAAAACGGACACTGACAATATTAAAGACTCAATTAAAGACAAGTTAAGTCAGGACAAAGTGAAAGGAATGTAGAGAGGTCTAGGCAGAAGAGCAGCATGTGGGATAGCTTTGTCAGGTGTGGTTGGCACACTCAGCCAACACACAAGGTCTGTGGACCAGCTAAGCTGATTATTTCTTACATAAAATGCCATGATAGTGACACTTGTCTAAGACCAACAGACTGGCATAAAATATAACTAATAATTGAGTACTGTGCAGTTCAATACCACAGAGAGTACACTTCAAATGTTCTTATCACGAAAAGTGTTAAATATTTGAAGTGACGGGTGTCTTCATTAGCTTAATTTAATAATTCCACTTTGTATTAAAAATGATCACACTATAATCCCAGCACTTTGGGAGGCCGAGACGGGCGGATCACGAGGTCAGGAGATGGAGACCATCCTGGCTAACACGGTGAAACCCTGTCTCTACTAAAAAATACAAAAAACTAGCTGGGCGAGGTGGCGGGCGCCTGTAGTCCCAGCTACTCGGGAGGCTGAGGCAGGAGAATGGCGTAAACCCAGGAGGCGGAGCTTGCAGTGAGCTGAGATCCGGCCACTGCACTCCAGCTGGGGGGACAGAGCGAGACCCCATCTTAAAAAAAAAAAAAAAATTATAACAACGTTTTCTACCCCATTAATATATACAACCACAATTTATCAATATATAACAAAAAATAATATATGTATTTTGTTTAAAAAGGAAAGGGCTAATTTTATATAATACCTAGTGTCTGCAAACACACAAACACACACAGGGAGAGATTGCAAAATGCGATCAGTTTTGAAACGTGAAACTGAATTTTGTGTGAATTATAGAATCTTAGAACTAGAAAGGGTCTTAAAACAATCCTGAACAACATTTTCTTTTTAGATTAGGTCAATAAGATTAGAGCTTGTTATTTACCCAAGATTACACAGTTGCTTAGAGGCAAAGCTAATAATGCATTTTCTGATATTGAATTAATTGATCTGTCTTCTATGCACTGAGTTTTAAACTGGATTTTTTGTTTATATCACATATTACTCAAGATTACACACCAAATGTTGAAGTCGAAATTTGAACCCAGGTTGGCCTGATAGCAAAATCTATGTACTTTATACCAAATCATAGTGATAATAAATGAAAGAATCAAATTGTAAAGATGCATGTGTGAATGCATGTATGAAGCTACACAGCAGTATTATGAATGAGACAATGTTTTTATTGAACACAGGATAATAGTTTTGAGAACACTTTTGTTATTCAGGATTTTTGCTTTTTTTTTTTTTCCAACAGAATCGGGCTCTGGCTATGTAAGATAAAAAGGAGATTTATCGTAAGAAGCTAATATTGGTGGGAGGCTTGGAAAATAAGGATCTAGGGATTCTAGAGCTTGGCAACAAGAGCAGTTGAGCCAGGATTTCACTGCTGCTTCCGTGTCTGACTCCGCAGCAGTAGAAAATACATTTCAGCCATCAACTCACCTCTGTGGTGCGTGCTCTCCATTCAAAGGCCTTGAAGCAAATGTCTAGTCGGCTGGTTAAGCAAGGATCAAATGCTTCTTTGTCTGGCAGTGGAGAGATCAGAAATACCCATCTTCGATTTCTATTGTGGGAGGTAAGACAATATATCCCACTAATACTACAAACAATGGGGACTTTCTGTAAAATAAGAAGGAATGTTGGGTATTTGATAAAATAATACATATTTCACTACAACTCTTTTGCTGAATATTGATGAAAGTAGGAAGCAAAGTAAAACATAAGCTTAAGTCAATGATTACTTTAAATGTGCCTTAGAAGACTGTTCATTGACACTATGAGAAAGAAGATTAATTCTAAGCAATTAGCTTAAAGCAGAGAGAAGATAAGCCAACATCAATAACATTTGTGATTCTAAAGCTCTATCAAAAATGAAAGCCAAGAACTAAATACAGTTGGCCCTCCACATCCACTGGTTCAACATCCATGGATTCAACCAAATGTGGGTCAAAACTCTATGAAAAACAATAAAAATAACAATATAAAAATAATACAAACAAAAAATAATGTAGTCTGACAACTATTTACATATCATATACATTGTACTAGGTATTATAAGTAATCTAGAAATGGTTTCAGGTATATGTGAAGATGTGCAAAAGTTATATGCAAATACTATGCCATCTTATTTAAGGAACTTGAAAGTAACCAAATTTTGTTATCTGCAGGGATCCTGGGATCAATCCCTGACAAACACAGAGGGATGACTGGATGCAAATATTATTTTATATTTGAAAGATAGCAGTTTTAATATCCATCGGCTTGCACGTTACATAAGAGTACAGAAGTGTTAGTGAGGAAGTGAAGAAGGAAAACCACAGGCTTCATATATCATAATAATATTTTTTTTTAGAATTATAGCTGTATTGCAGAGGCAGTAAAAATTACTACAAAGCACCCAAATTAAATTATTCATGTTGTGGGGATGAAGTAACAAAAAATCCATGACACTTTTCAGCAGAAACACTTCAAGAAACACAGACACACACACAGACACAGACACACACACACACACACACACACAGATACATACTCCAGACATGTATTTATATATTAAAAAAAAAATTTGTAATAGTTGGCCAGAATAAGAGCTATATTACTTGTGGTTCTCATCTTTCCCTCTTTCTATATCCTCTATTACTACCCACAGCAAGAAGCTAGTTTATTCAATTCTTTACATCTCAATGATGTACTTTGACAAAGAGGTCTCAAGATTCCACTATACTAAAACATTTTCATCCTTTTGGAGGATTTGAATAAATACTAAAGGTTATGGGTGTTATTTCAGCATGTGAATTTCTAGAGGGAAATGTTTCAGTCAAGAATTCAGGCATTCTGTCTACTATCTGAGCTTTCTCCATGCCTCAAGTGTTGGTCAATGCTACAGAATTTCCTGAATGACACAGTCCTTCCTCACCAAGACTGTAACAGCCTAATAAAGAACGAGGCATAGACCACTAAATAAACCTTATGAATAATAGTTCTTACACATTGACGTCTTAACATGGTACAGGTGAGTACCTTACAAAAACTTACTCATTTAATCTTTACAAAGACCCTATAAAATACATACTATTATTCCAAGTTTCTATGAAAAAAAAAAAAAAAAGAGACTCAGGGAAGTTAACTACATGTCTCAATATTATGCGGCTTCCAAGTGGTGAATTTAAGCATAGGTCCTTTAAGGCTCAAGTCCATTGTCTTAACCACTTCATCTTAGACCTCCAAACTGTGATGTATCTTTTTTCTACCTTTCCCCATCAACCAAGCACCTTCTCATCAGATTCATTTTATGCCTCTTTTACTGGTGTTTCAACATTTGAACTTTACAGTTTGGCTGAAAGTTAATCCAATAGAGTAGAGGCTTTGTATGTAGGTGTATTTGAAAAGCACTTTCATTAGCTACAGAGACTTTAGCCCTGTATCCTGGAATTAGGCAGGGTTAGGAGATGGCCACCTGGAATTAAAATATGAAGTTTACCAAAGAATAGTAACCAAAAGTGCTAGGTTGTTTGAGATCCCTTTCAGAGTCCCTGTTCTTTGAATCATGCCCTGATTATTTTCTCTGATGTGTACATGCTCACCTGTAGGTTAGCCATAACTCTCTCAGCCCCACCCTCATCAGCAGCTATTTATTAAATACTTCAGTGTTACTCAGGATGCATGTAAATGCTATGTAATTTTAAATATCTGTGATTATGTATTCCTTGTAGAATCAAATAAGAACGATGAAAGCCACTCTCCTCCTATGATCAAATTAACTTAGTCACATAAAAGTAGGAAACATGTCAAAAATAAACATTTCAGGCCTCTGGAAATCAAGCAAACAGAAACAACTAATGGAGAAGCATTTATTCATAAGAAACCCACTGGAAGCCTAATAAGGGCAGTGGGATCTGTAGCCTTCCTTCCTGGGAATGCTTTCCTCCTCCTTGCCTATTTCAGGCGAAGTGACAACTCAAAACCAGTAGGCATGTTGCCAGAGTGGGCTGACATTTTTGAACAGGAGATATAAAACCATATTCACATTATTAAAGTAGCAATTTTTGGAGGAAATGAACAGGGAAGCTTGTGCCTCTGTTAACTTATGGTTACGGAGCTGTGAATAACCCATAGAGTGAATGGAGAGAACCTAGAAATGAGAGACATAGAAGGATCTGATAAGCTCTTAATACCTCCCTGAGAGACTGGATAAATAAACATACATGCAAGGAAAGCCAACTTGGGCCCAGCAGAAAGGAGAAGATAGGGTGTATTTGAGAACTGGCTGAATTTTGAATGTGTTCCTCAGAGAAAGCCTTTCAGCAAAAGGTGGAAACCTTATGGAATCAACGTGTTCGAGCACAACTGCCCAAATCATTGACTGATCACAGAGCCATGAAAGACACAGAGTGACCCCTAGGGTAGCCAGGTTAAAAAATAAAAATGAGGACAAGATAAGCTGAACACACACATCTGTGGCCATACATCATGAGAACTGAAATCCAGGGAAGTCATTAAAAAAACAAGCATATAAACAACAACAGCAAAAGCATACACATCTTAAGGGGGAAATGAGAGTTGAGTTGCTATAGTATCTGAAATGCCTGGTTTTGATAACTAGTTAATATAGGAAACTCAAACAACTGAATAGCAAAAACAAAAACAAAAAATTCAGTTAAAAACAAACGAAAGATCTGAATAGCCATTTCTCAAAGAATATATACAAATGACCAACAGACACATGAAAAAGACTCAACATCACGAGGTAACGTGAAAATCAAATCTATTTGAATGCAATGAGATACCGTCTCACTCCAGTTAAAATGAGTGTTATCAAAAAGATGAAAAATACTGGATGTTGGAGAAGATGCAGAGAAAAAATGCTCATACACTGTGTGGGGGAATGTAAATTAGTACACTGTGAAAAAAAGTATGGAATTTCCTCAAAAATTAAATATAGAACTGCTGCTGGTTAATTATAAAAGAAAATCAGTATATCAAAGAGCTATTTACACACCCATGTTCATGACAGCACCGTTTACAATAGACAAACTATGGAAATCACCCAAAGTGTTCAACAATGGATGAATGAATAAATAAAATTTAGTACATGTGCACAGTGGAATATTTTTTAGTCATTAAAGAGAACAAAGTCCTGTCATTTGTAAAATCATGGATGAAACTGGAGGCCAGGCATGGTAGGTTAAGCCAGTAATCCCAGCATTTTGGGAGGCCAAGGTGGGCGGATCACAAGGTCAGGATATCGAGACCATCTTGGCGAACACGGTGAAACTCCCTCTCTACTAAAAATACAAAAAAAATTAGCCGGGCATGGTGGCGGGCGCCTGTAGTCCCAGCCACTCGGAAGGCTGAGGCAGGAGAACTGTGTGAACCTGGGAAGCAGAGCTTCCAGTGAGCCGAGATTGCGCCACTGCACTCCAGCCTGGGTGACAGAGCAAGACTCCATTTAAAAAAAAAAAAAAAAAAGAAAGAAACTGGAGGACATTATGTTAAATGAAATAAGCCAGGTACAGAAAGACAAATAGTGCATGTTCTCACTCACAAGTGGAAGTTAATAGAAAATTGATCTCATGGAGATAGAGAGTAGAGTCAACAGTTACTAGAGGCTGGAAAGGGTAGTTCAGAGTGCAGGGGGTGTGGGCGGGGGTGGTGGGAATAGAGAGGGGTTAATGGGTAAAAAAATATACATTTAGATAAGAGGAATAAGATCTAGCATTCAGTAGCACAATAGAGTGACTATGATTAGCAATAATTTATTGTATATTTCAAAAGAACAAAAGGAACGGAATTGGAATGTTCCTAACACAAAGAAACGATAAATGTTTAAGAGGATGGGTATCCCAATTACCTGGATTTGATTACTGCACATTGTACACTTATACCAAAATATTACATGTACCTCATAAATATGTGCAAGTAGCATGTATCCATAAAAATTTTAAAAACTGTATGGTTTTGAACAAAATGTCCATCCTGTGCCAATACCTTAATTGCAGCCTAATAAGAAACTGTGACGCAGAGGTCCCAGCTTAGCTTTACCTGGATTTCTGACCCATGGAAACTCTGAGATAATAAACAGATATTATTTTAATCTAGTAAGATTTTGGGTAAATTGTTACATAAAAGGAGGTAACAAAAACAGAACTTTCCTTTTATCATCAACTTTTCTCTTCCAGGCCAGGCACGGTTGACTTGCACCTGTAATCCCATTTTCGGAGACCTAGGCAGGTAGATCACTTGAGTTCAGGAGTTTGAGACCAGCCTGGGCAACATCCTGAAACCCTGTCCCTACAAAAAAAATGCCAAAAAATTAGCCAGGCATGCTGGCACATGCCTGTAGTCCCGGGTCCCTGGGAAGATGAGGTGAGAGGATCACCTCTTGAGCCCAGGAGGTCAAGGCTGCAGTGAGCCGTGATCATGCCACTGCACTCCAGTGCATCCCTAAAGCATCTCTCTTTCTCTCTTTCACTTCACCTTTCCTCCTGCTATAGTCCTGTTTATGTTTATGTTTAATGTCTACCTTTAAAATACATACTAAAGACAAATTTCCAAGCAACAGAAAATAAACACAGGTAGAAGCTTTTTGAATTAAACCATGATGTCTGATTTTCTTGCATATTTCTACCATTTCTAGCTGTCCAGAGAGCAATTAAGTTATATTGGATCACAATTTGCATGGTATATTGATGGACTTAATAACTTACATCTATTGCTTCCAAAGATATTGTTTTCTTTTGTCTTAATTTATAAAATTTATCCATATTAGTAACTTTCTCCAGTGTACATTTTCTCATTCTTTTTTCCTTCTTTATGAATTTTAATTTTATAATATTTTTCTTTCTTTTATTTTAATACCAAAACTGAAGCTAATGTGATTGTCTAATACAAAAAAAAAAAT